ATAATATTTAATAATAAGAATTAATATCATAAAAAAAATTGTATTTCGCCATTATAGTAAAATAAAAGAAGTTAATATTGTATTACAAACAAAAACTTAAAGAAAAACAAAGTTAACTAAAATATTATCTCTACACAAAAATTATTGGTATAAAAAGAAAATGAAAAAATAAAATAATAATGATAATAATAATAATAATAATAATAATAAAGAATTGAAATAAATTTTCATTCGTCTATGGCCGAATCACTGCACATACCCACAACAGTGAAATACCCAAACTTGGTCGCCATTATCACGGAATATAATGATCCCGCCTATAGCCTATATTGCCTTGTCTTATCATTAACTATCACCTGGCTGGTCGTTCGTAATTGAATAGAAAAAATTATTGTGGATCCAATAACCGTTATCGGGATAAAGTGAATGCTAAACACATAATTAATTCTTTTGCATACAATTGTATACAATGGCTTGTCACATAAGAGTTTAGGTATAGATGGCTTTGCCTATCTAAGGCAGTTTTTTTCGTTTTTTCTTGCTTTTTTGGGGAAGACCTTATTACATGCACAAGTACATCAAGTCGTTATCAAGTGATCGTCAATTGATCATCATGAGTCCCTGAAGATGACACAATAATGAATTAATTGGACCGCTATCGTAATGTTATTTTGATATTTCTCACATTTTCTGGATCCATGTCCATTTTCGTGATGTCCAATATCGTCACGGGAGAATTACAAAAATGTCTGCGCTGTTCAAAACTTCCGACATGAGAACTCGTTGAAGTAAGTATGTAATGAGATCAATATTCATTTTCTGCCGAAAATATATATATATATATATAATGTATATATATATAAATGTATAACATTATGATTGGTTAGAGGAGTTAGTTATAGGTTAAAAGTCTTTCTCTGTGTTGATGGGTATGTGGAGAGAAAAAAAACACTTTTTTTTTAGGTCAGGCAGCATTAGCAAATTAATGAAATTAAGCATTGAGTTTATAATTTTTAAGCAAATCTAATAAATATATAAGAAATTGTTTTAATATTTTTTTTTTTTTTTTAAATTTTTGTTTAAGAAATTTTACACATAGACAATAAAACTTTTCGAATACACTGAGAATATTTTTCTCTGTTTTTTTTTTCTTTTTTTTTTTTTAAATATGATCGCATATTTTTCTTGGTTCCTTTTCGCTGCTCTTTGCTTTCCCTTTTTTTTTTTCTTTTTTGTTATATAATTTTTTTCTATAAATGTATGAATTTATACTAATTGGTTTTTTTTTCCCTTTTCTTTTTCTTTTTTATAATTGATTGTATATTAAGTTTATGTACATTTCTTAAGTTTCTATTATATACTAACATACATTTTACATGATTTGTTTGTTTACTGTTGTTGGTTTTTCTTCATCCTTCATTTTTTACGGGGCGGGGAAAATTCACTTAACAACTAACTTAGATTACTATCACAGCCATATTTTGAAATGAAAAAAAAAAAAAAAAAAAAGTGCTGTAATTGGACTTAAGTCCCAATCATTTCATTTCCTACACCACTTTTACGTGCAAACTCAAAGATCTTTTATATAGAATTTCGTACATAGCGTGGCGTTCAAAAGTGAAATTTTGACAACATTTTTAACTAATGCTTGGATAAATAGATCGATATACAAATGTACTAGCGCCTATATACGTGTGGGTAAGTGTGTGTATATGTGTTTGAGTACGATTGAGTGTTTGAGTGCGTCTATCCATATGTTTATGTTTTCCATTTGTACAGAGGAAGGGTTAAATGTCAATGGCTGGATGCCTACCTGTACACGACGCGACTACTTCCGGATAAAATTTCTCCCACATTGATCGCCATGAAGTTGGAAATCACATACATATACAGACACACACACACACACACACCCATACACACAGACCGATAGTTGCGAGTGGTCCAGGAGGGTATTTTAATTAGAATCTCCTAGCGCTTAGCCGCCCCAAACGCAGGTACAACTGCTCTTTTCTGCAGTAGGATCGCTATTAGGAATTACTACGCGAAGGTTGGTTAAAATCACAGCGCGTATCTTTTTGAAGATTATCGGATCTTAATAACTGCTTCTTTTATCTAACTAACATCGTCTCTCCTACAATGGGGGCGTAATAGTGAATACATATCTTAATTGCAAAAATCATAAATTCAACTCAAGACTCGCTTTCTTCCATAGTGAACCTGAACTATATTGGATTAAATTTTATACGAATTGGGAACGATTTCCTCTGTTTTTCATTTTACAATTATCACGATTACAAAAACAAATAAATGAATGGACTTAAATCGACAATCTACCACAATCCACACACCAGAAGGCACACACGGACACATTACATTATCGTTCCCATAAAGGCATCGTTACAGTTAAAGTCGATCTCAACCCGTAACTCTAATAATTGCATATATGTCTGTGCATTATGGTGGTGTAGAACGATCACATTTATTTGTGAATACTCTA